GATTATTGGGCCGTGCATTATCGGGTCGTACATTATAGGGACCCGACAAATCTTTTGAACTAATTCTTCGATTTTGACATCTGTTTTTGTTTCTCATTTAAAGTTAAGATAGTGATAATAGTTGAATATCTTAAATGTTTTATTTACTATATTGAAGGTATTGTGTATTAGGTAAATTAACATTAAACTATCAAAAATGTATCGTTTACCGATTTCAAATAAAACGACTCGTGGATTCTATAAAACACATAGGACTTTGACGTCCAACAGCATTAGGAGCTCTTTTATTGAATATTTTTGTAAAAACCACGACCATAAGTTCGTGAAGTCTAGTTCCGTGGTGCCACTATGTGACCCCACGGTACCTTTTGTTAACGCCGGAATGAATCAGGTAAAAACAACATTTTTGCCTTTTAACTATTTGTTGTTTTGAATTCGATATACCTAATATTTGTGTAAATATTGTGGTAACATTACAATTTCAGTTTAAAGGGGTGTTCCTGGGTGTGGTGGAGCCTCCGTGTGCAAGGGCGGTCAACTCTCAGAAGTGTGTGAGAGTTGGTGGTAAACACAATGACCTGGAGCTGGTTGGCATGGATGGTCATCATCACACCTTCTTTGAGATGTTGGGAAACTGGTCTTTTGGTGATTACTATAAGGTATATAATATATGACAACCTTTTTCACAGAATGATAATATAGTTTTTAGTAGCAGACTCTAAATTATATGTTTCCATAGTTTTTTCCAACACATAGGATGCTATGGTTTTAGTTTGGTTGTTAACTTTCATTATCTTTAAAACTATAAATTGTTTTGTTTGTAGAAAGAGGCATGTCAAATGGCCTGGGACCTGCTTCTCGGTCCATTCCGACTGAAACCAGAGGACCTTTTGGTGACATACTTTGGTGGGGATGTTGTGATAGGCTTACAGGAGGACAGAGAGTGCAGAGACATTTGGAGATCACTTGGGTATATTTGGTTATAAATTGTGTAACAAGTAGTTATCTATCAAAGTAATTGTAACAGATTGTGTGTGCAGAGTGCCAGCGAGCAGGTTGCAGGCTCGGGGGGCAGCAGACAACTTCTGGGAGATGGGACCGACGGGCCCGTGCGGCGCCTGCACTGAGCTGCACTATGTGGGAGCAGACGGCAGCCTCACAGAGATATGGAACCTTGTCTTTATTGACTGTAACAGGTTAATTTTCATAACACCAATTAACTAATGGTTTTCTTTGCCAATTTCTTTTGTTCTTGTAAGTTCCTTGTGCTCCTATGGGAAGTATTGACACATTTGTGTACGGTCAGAGAAGGCGATGGGTCAGTGAAGCGCCTGCGGAGGCAGCACGTGGACACGGGCATGGGTCTGGAGCGCGCCGCCGCGCTGCTGCAGGGCGTGCGCTCCAACTACGACACGGATCTCTTCAGACCATTGCTGGACGCCATACACAGGGTAACACAAACTATGCTATCCGGCTCGAAGGACCATGTAAAAATGTAAATTAGTACCTTCTTTGTACTTATTATCGTTCTTATAAATTAACTACTTATTTAAAAATGTACCATAGGAGTAGAATAAGGTAGGGGAGATCACTATGTTTGTTTTTCTAGCATGATCGATCGACTTGAATGAATAGTAAGTATTTAGTGAAGAGATACTCATATAATAATGTGTGCACAATGGCAACAGAACAGCAAGGGCGTGCCGGCGTACGGCGCGCGGGAGGGCGCGGGCGCGGCGCTGGACGGCGCGTACCGCCGGCTGGCGGACCACGCGCGGATGGTCAGCGTCTGCCTCGCAGATGACGTCTACCCCGTAGCCAGGTCACACCAGTTTTATGTCACACTCTTATATTGATTCATTCCACTATGTATAGTTTTTTCTAGGTACATTTTTGTATGTTACAGCTTAAACCTGAAACAAATCATGCGCAAATCGTTCAAGATTTCCACCGACGTCTTCCAAAACCCCCGACTCTTGAACGAGCTGTACGGCGAAGTGGCCGCCAGCCTCGGAGATACGTACCCGGAGCTGATCGCTAAACGAAACGATGCCAACCTCATCATAGACCACGAGAGGGAGTCGTACGCCAAGCTGCGCGCCGACCTCCAGAAAAAGTGGAAGGGCCTCGTGCGGAGATATCCGGAGGTGGAGAGCCTGGCCGACATCGAGCTGGCCGGCTTCCCACTGGGATATACTGAATTTAAAGAGGTATAAAACGTGGTCTATCGATTGATTAATGATAAATTGCACATCTATTTCATCATGATATATAATTTTTCAGACAATGTCCAAAACGAACTCCGCAACGATGCCCGGAGAATTAGTATTCAAGTTATACGACACGCACGGCTTCCAGGAGGAAGCGATCGAGAGGATAGCCAAGTTGAACAACTTAGACATAGATAAGAAAGCGTTCTGGAAGCTCCTCGGTCAGCACAAATCTAGACATAAGACCGCCTTCAAGGAACGAGCTCAGAAGGGGCTCGCCTTCGAAAATATCGTGGACAGATTACTGAAGAGTAATATTAAACGTACAGATGATTCATACAAATATAATTATTTATATGAAAACAAGGAGGTGACGTTCGAGCCGCTCGAGTGCAACATAGTGGCCATAGTGAACGAGGACGGCGAATGGATCGACTGCCTGGAGCCGTGCGAGACCAGGCCCTACTATCTGGTGACCGACAGGACCAACTTCTACTGCGAGGAGGGCGGCCAGGAGGCCGACACCGGCCTCATCACGATCGACGATCACGTCTGTATGGACGTGGAGAAAGTGTTCAAAGTGCGCGACTTCGTGTTCCACAAGGGGCGGTTCGCGGTGCGCAGCGGCGCG